ACCAAAACACGAGCCATAATGTACACTATAACATAAGTCATAATTCAATTCATACAATACAACATGTATTGTGAGATAATACTACCATCCAGAATTGCGTCTAGATGATCGTATGGAACACCACATCTCAACAGAGCCCGTTGCAACTGTGAACGGATATAAAGGTTGCTAGTGTGGAATTGAAAAAATACAAGCACACCTGACTGGGCAACATTCGCCTCTGAGTGGGATCCAAAAGAAATAAAAAGGAACCCTAGAGGAAAAAAGAACAAACCATAAATAAGGTAAGAAAGTTACTCACCTCCTTGTTAAAATCTAGAAGAAGTAGTCAACACAGCCACGGGGGAAGACGAAATCCCACAGAAGAGGAAACTGCCAGATCATGAAGGCAATCAGATAGGAAAGTATCGGATGAAGTCCACATACCAACCCACAAAATATCCTCCACAGAACAGTTTAGGCAAGCAGCCAATGACATTGATAGATGCTGAATCTAGTAAGAAGTGACATGGAGCATATTTCGATCTTCAGTAAACAACCCCAAATAGGCTATATGAATCAACTTCCGAAGCCCTCCAGTTAATGTAATGGGTGATAAATCCCAGGACAATGAATAAAAAGCTGGTTCCTAGGGCTCCTAAGTGGTTCTATACAAGCCACATAACATCTAAGTGAGCACAACAAATGATCCGAGTCTGATCAACTGTAAAGATGAGAAATGCTGGGTAAATGAATAGGATAAAATGATTAATTCCCTTCTCTGGCAGTGAGAGTTTTTGTAGAAAGGATCTGACTGGATAGAGCAAAACATGGAAGGCAACTAAGTCAGAACAGCGGCATCTGGAAGCTAACAACAATAAAAAATATACCTTTATTTAGTCAAATAAATGGAAACTTTAGTTAAACCCCTATGTTGGGGTTTAACTAAAACACCACATATCTGCCATGCATGAAGCTAGAGTCATCAAAGGTCTGGGTGTTGAATGTTGGACCATTGTTGTCTCAACAAGGATAGGCGAAGAGGTAGTGGTAGTGGTGAACATTCCTGGAGCAACCAAAGAAGAGGAAACGATGTCTGAGCAGGCCAAAAAAGTGCTATCAAGAGAACCCGACATGGGGTGGAATGAATCATAGACAAGACTCTGGCTAAGAGATAAATAGGAGGAAAGGCATACAAATGTAATCCCATCCAGTCTTGACTGAAAGCATCTATCACCAGAGCTCGTTGATGTGGGACTGGAGTACAGAACAACTGTAGGCAAGCATTCCAAAAGGTTGCATCAAATATTGGAAATCCAACCTGAGAACAAATCCATTGAAAGACCACCTGATGTAACATCCATTCTGTTGGAAGAATCTGATGGGGTTGAGAAAGATGATCTGCTATCAAATTCATAATCACTGGCACATGACAGGCCAAAAGATGGATGTCTTGGGAATGAGCCCAATAAAGAAGATCCAAAGCCCGAAAACAAAGATCTCGAGAATGAGTACCTCCCTGACGAGAAAGATATAATGCCACTATGGAGTTTTCCGAATGAATCATGACAATTTCTCCATGCAAGAGAAGAAGACCTTGAATCATTGCTCGATGTACCAGAAGAAGTAATAGAATGTTGATATGTAGGAAAGATTTGTAGTCTGTCTTAATACCCTGGAATTCCTGCCCCTGAAGAAAAGCACCCCATCTGTGAAGAGATAGATTTCCAGACGAGGAGGTGGTATCTGGATCCCGATAGTTGAGTTGTTCCTGTCTATCCACCACTTGAGATCTGCAAAATTGTTCTCGAGCAAAGAGACTGCTATATCAAACGGATCAATATGCATGAGCCACTGGTCGTGAAGTGCCCACTGGAGGGATCTCATATGGGCCTGACCCAATGGCACAAGGGATTCTAGAGAGGCCCAAATCCCCAAAACAGACACAACCATCCATGCAGTGGGATAAGGTGACGTAAGAAAATGCCTGACAATCCCTTCCATACTGTGAAGTCTGAGGGAAGGTGGTTGAGCTCAACTCAAATGTGTGTTGAAAAACACCCCAAGATGGACCAGGTATTGAGATTGTGAGAGAATGGATTTTTCCAACCTGATAATGAAGCCTGCCCTTCTGGCCTCGAAAAGGAGAATCTGGGTATGTAGTTCGGCAATGTGACAGGTTGGTGCCAAAAGAAGCCAATCATCCATATAGTGATGTGTGCAAAGACCCAGAAAGTGGAAATGCTATGCAAAGGCTCATACTACTCGACAGAAAGCATATGGTGCTGAAGCAAGTTCAAACGGGAGAGCTCAGAACTGAAACACCAAGTCCTTATGCACAAAACGTAGAAATCGACGAGAAGACTCTGCTGTGAGGATGTGAAGGTAGGCATCTGTAACATCAAACTTGGTCATCCAAAGACTTGGTGTGAAATGTCACCGAAGTTGACTAAAAGATTCTATGGTGAAACAAGGAGACTGCAGGAAGTGATTGCGTCAAGACAGATCAATAATAGGATGCCAATCTCCAGTTTTCTTGGGCACCAGAAATAGACGAGAATAGAATCCTGGATGGCTTGTTTGTTGAACAACTCCTGAATGGCCCGGAAATAAAGGTCTGCATGTCTGAGGGCTGAAAGAGGAGAAAAGACAACAGAGGGGGGAAAAGTAAACTGAATCTCGAACACCAAATCCAGCACTCTAAGAACCCAAGGATCAATGGTGAATGAACACCAAAAGTGGTGAAAGAGATGTAACCATCCTTCCACAGGACCCAGTGAAGATGGGTAGTCATGGACGTCACTGACGCTGTCCTGCCCTGTCTGAAGATTCCCAAGAATATGGAAGGAACCGATTCTGTGAAACAAAATGACAAGGTGTTGAAGGTGGGGGCCATGAGATGCGAATGGTCGATCCTCCAAAATTACCCATTGGAGTAGAAGAGAGGCAAGAAGCCAACGACAATGAAGAAGACTGCAAATGTGCCGTATCAATTCAGGCTTCTAAAGCTTCCAGGACTCTGGTGAACAAGTAAGGCCAAAGAAAGGGCACCTCTCGTCAATCACGAGGAGCAGTGGATAGCAAACGGATACCCTCCAACAAGGCATCTCGACTTGATAAGTCCCAGCAACAGACCAACCACGACACTAAGGCAAGGCCTGAAGAGGACAAACGAGCCATAGTGGTAACCAGTAAGGGTCCCAGTTCACCATCAAATTGATGAGGAGAGCATTGACATGCTTGAGACAAAAGATGAAGGGAAGAGAAGTTTCGCAATACAGTAGTAAGAGTCAAACAAATCCAGTAAAATTGAGAACTGCTAATAGTGATAACAGATGATAACCTGGAACCCCATAGATCCAACAACAGATCCAACCATTGAGTGTCAAAATATACTTCATCAATGATAAGCCAGGGCATGTTGTTCTGATAAACGATGGGGGCATGGCATAGTGATACCCTCTCGTAATTACATTGCATACCTTCCTGCATGCACAGCAATATCAGGGAAAGGAAGAAGAACTAAGTAATCTAAGTGATCTATTTGACAACAAGGCAGGAGTAGACTCAAAAGCAATGGGGTTAATTTCCAAACTTCACAAACTTGCATAACTAACTGCAGAAAAGGGGCAGAAGGTGGCTGATCAGATGAGCCCTCAGTAGAGGCAGCCCTAGTGAAAGAAAGAGCAGAAAACAGTGTCTAAATTCTCTCCAATATATTCAGGTTCACGATAAAAAGCCAACTCTGAACCCCCGAGAAGACAGTCTTTATCTGGATCAGGTCACGAACAGCCTCCACGGAGATTGGACCCCCCCCCCCGACTGCTGACTACCACCAGACAACAAAGGAGGAATGGGTAGCCCCATACCAAAAACTGTTACATGGGAATTCATACCCATAAAAGAATTTTTGTTGTTTTTTAACTGCAGAAGAAAACCAACGAAATATCACAAATGTGAAAAAAACACAAAACAAAAAGAGCACCACACTACTTTCAAAATTTTACAAATGACAATGTGAACCACAAAACGTGACTCTTAGCGCTTTGTCGAGAAAAGGTGATTATATTGTCTGCATCCAGTGCTTATATACCTGCATAGAGGGCGAGTGAGAGCCAGTGTAAAGTTTTGCAAATTAGATATTTCCAAAGGCAGTCGAGTGGGGTATAAAAGAATGGAGCAAGTGAACACTATGTTTAGATGGCAAAGAACAACGGAATATGGAGATCGAGAAATAAGTGGCAGCGGAGGTATGTATATTTTGGAAACTAACTTATGGTATTTGTTAACCTTTCACTAAATACTTAAGGCACAGTCTTCGTAGAATGAAGCTGTTAGATTAATATTCAAGACATAGTCCTAACTACTACTGTACAATGTTTTTTTCAAAAATACATTTGAGTGTTGATTTATTCAAACCTAAAGTACAAAGTGTGTTAATTATTACACAACATAACTTACATCTGTCACTATGTTGTTTATTATAGATATATTAAATTACTGCAATATTACTTTGATATCTAAAAAACAATAAGTGCAGTGAGAAACAGACATAATAAATTTTAAATAGTTAAGCAGACTTTTCACAAAGTCTGTTTCTGCTCTGTAATTGATTAGAAATAATAAAAGTCTTTAAAATGTTCTGTTGGTGAATGAGATAAATCAATGTGTGTTTAATATCATAAAGAGAGACAAGAAGCAAGTAAAATTAACAAATGTTATTCTAGTTCCATGTTGAGAGCAGCTCAACTTTGCTACATATAGCCTTAAATTGGATAATTCATGGATTGGATTTGAAAAAAATACTGACCCAAAATATATGTTTACTAGTAAATCATAATGAGTGAAAAAAGAAATTATTATAGCAATTGTTACTGTTCTACATTAGATATTTAAATATCACAAAATAACATAAAAACAACAGACAATAAGAATGAAGACATACATGCTCAACCTATCAAAAATAAAACCAATTTAACAGTTAAGACTTTAGAATAATGAAAGAGAAAATACATACTTTGTTTAATAATTCTTTTTCTCTGATTAAGTCTTCAATGGCCCTTTTATCTTGTTCTACCTGTTTATTAGCATTTTCCAGTTCTGTATGAGAAAAACGTTTATAGTTGTATCATAAAAATATTTGTTTAATAGGATCAAAACTGCAACAAAAATATATGCTGTAACTCAAATTCCTCACCTGTTTCTGATAAGCTTATAATATGTTGGTCTGTAACTAACCTAGTTAAGTAGATTGAAGATGAATGATAATGTTGAATGTTAATATTTTCCTCAATTGGAAATGTATTTCCGATAGATACTTACTTCTCTGCACATAGTAGCTTATTCCTTACACATCTGCCTTTGAGATCTTGCACATGCCACTAGCCTTAAGCTTTCTCCCACCTAAGACACTTGTTATAATGTAAAGTGCACTAGTTTAACTAGTGTAACCATCATGTGACAATAGTCCTCCACCAACAGGAGGGCAAAACATCCTTCACACGAAGTACATCCCCATAAATATTTGCATATGAAATTAACTTCATTCTTAGACGAAGTAAGAATAACATGCACCAGTAGTGGGGAGGAAGGGTGGAAAGATGTGCAGGCAAGTATCTTTTGAAAATATATTTTCAGGTAAGGAAAATAGTAACTTCCAAAGTGATAGGCTTACCTCTCTGCATACAGTGGCTAGAAACCCATATTGATGAGGTTGAGGGACCAGTGCAATTGCAAAACCTATATTAGCTCCATCCAGATAAAGTAACCAAAGAGGAAGGCCCATGGAGTGTGAAACCCTATAGTACATGGGGGGCTTACTAGAGAGACAAAACTGTCAAATGGTGGAGATAAGTCTGGAGGATTTCATCCAAGGGTCAGCAAAAGTGTGAGGCCAGAGAGTGAGATAAATGGGAAATTTGAGGTGATTAAATGTGATACAGACAGTGAGCAGGGAGGAACAGATGATGTGGATGAGCTAACAAATCCATCCAGTAATTGTAGAGAAAGAGGGATCCTTGGAAAAAGAGAAGCCCCATAGCAAGAATAAACTACTGCAGGAACTCCAAAATGAAGCTGTGCATGACAAGTAACACCTGACCACTCAAACTGGACACAAATTAATATGCTCACACAGGGCCAAGATTGACAGAAGAGATACGGAAGAAAAGGTAGAATCTCCCTCCAAAGTTGCCTAAGTCTTAGGAAGAACCGAGTAGACAGGGAATAAAATCAAGGAAGATCTGTGACACAAAGAAGAGGAGGTATCCAGTGCATAAAAATAAGATTTGTGATGACCACTAGCAAGAAGAAAAAACAGGTTTTAAGGAGCAAGAGTGTATAAAACAACATCACGGTTTCAGTTAGGCAAAGAAACAAAGTGGAATGAACAGGAGAGGAAAAGACAAAACCATAGAAAAAAACAGCTAAAGGGTTGTCAACAAGGCCTCCTGGTAGCCTGCAATGGTCAGAACTGACAATCCTCAGTTAAACAATCAGATAAAGACCGAAAGGTGGGATACTGTAGGATAGCCTGATAGTAGAGAAGTGGTCATAGAAATCCGACCTTTAAGCAAGAGACCAGACACATCTTACATGTGAAGATGAAGGGATGACAGTCTTGGGTGAAATAGAGATGTATGAGGTTGGAGCAAGAGTAACTTAGATGGACGACAGTCGGTAAACCAAGATTGAGTTTGTCAAAAAGGTGCTACAAACAAAACCCGACAGGGAGTGTTGCAAATTAATGCCAAGAAATATAAGAGAATACAAAGAGGAGGGTACACCTATAGAAAAAGATGAGACCAGTCCTGGCTGAGTGAATCAACAAGAGGACCAGAGGAGGAGGAGTTTGGTACTGAAAGAATTGGCAAAGGCATTAATCACTGTCATACCATACTGGGAATATATCCAACAAAATATCTGAGAATGGAGTGATTACTCCATAGGAAGAATCCTGTCCAGTCAAGAGTTATTCCATCAACACAGTCAAACGTGAGTGGACCCAAAACAGGAAGTCCAACATGTGGAAGCAAAGGTCCCTGGAGCAAGTCGCACCCTCACAACTAATATGAGAAATTACTGTGGAATCGCCAGAATGGATTATAATTATGTAATCCACAAGATGAGGTAGGAAATAGAAACATAACTAATAAATGGCCAAGACTTCCAGAACCTTGACAAGGTTCAAGAGGTTTAAAAGACTGTTTTGTATGCTTTCATTTAATGATTTCTTCAACAGCACTTTCACTGGTGCATTATTAATGTGTTTTTTTTTATCAATACTGTTTTGACATTTTTAATCTCATTGAGCTTGTCTATTTAAATTATTTGAAAATAATCTGAAGTCCAGTCCACACAGTTATTAGTTTATTTCTTCCTTAGCATTTATAAAGGCTTGTGCACTGTTGTAACTTGTAGGCCCATGTTTATAACTGACATTCCAATGGAAATACCATGCTAACTGTACTGTGACTACAGTAAAAATAAACTTACTTGTATAATTTCTCACCAGATTGGTCAAATAACTTAATATACCTGATAATTAACATTGATCCAAATGTTTCATTGTACTCTACCAACAGAAAACAAAATCAAGACTGCTTGCTATACCAATTGAAAGCAAAACACACTGACCCAATGCTTCACTGATTCTTGTATTTATAATCTACTTTGTTCTTAATACTCTCTGAATTTACTAGATTTTCATGAGATCGAATTTAGAACTTTCTATATAAATATAGCTTACAACTTATATTTATGACTAAACTATAACTAAGAATATGAAATTCTTATCTGCCATCACCTTTGACAAAAATTAACACAGAGAAATAGTTGGCAACTGTTCAGAGACACATCAACACTATATAGAACAAGCATTGCTTGACTCATTTGTAAAGAACAGCATTACAGTTATTATTTGTTACTGAAGCCATGGCATAAAAAGTTATTCAGTGATCCCCATTTTCCCGTACTTGCTGCTTACCTATATAATGAATGCGGATCCCCTCCCAAATATTTGCAACTCCAAGGGATCATTTCAAAACATATCATATAACATATCAGATGATTAATACCTTCTTAGCCTTGCATATGTGGCTTTAATACTCTCATGAGCATATTATGACAGATTAAATTCTTAGTTGGTAGAAACAGGCACACAATTAATTAAAAAGTTGACAAAACACAACCACAGGGTTGTAATGCTCAAACTTTCTAATTATGCCTAGCCTCAGATCAACTATATTTAAGCATCATTAAACTTGTATCTTCGGCTAATTATGTTTAACCCAGGTAGAAGGGTTTTAATAATAACAGCTTAATTATTTAGTATTATTATGTTGTCTTTAAACACTCAGTTAGACAGTTGCCAAACAAACCTACAAATATGTCATTACGTTTTACTTAGTTATCATTATGTTTGACAAAAATACACCAATAACTTTCAAAAATAAGATGAATATTAAGACGAATTACCTTTTTCTAAGCCTGTTACCTGGGATTTTAATATTTCCCGTTGACCATCCACATCTACCTTTAACTCTTCTACAGTTTTTAATTTTTTTTGGCAGCTTCTTTTTGCTTAGTAAGACGTGTCACCTCTTGTTTGAGGTAGTTGATCTCTTCTTCTTTATTCTATGAAAAACATATTTTTTGAAAGATACATAAGAAACATTCTTCAGAAGTTAAGAACATGAATGGAAATCATTATGATTTGTTGTGATGGATTTATTGTCTGTACAGTACCAGACAAATACATACACTTATAACTTAATCTAAAATCTATTCTTGTAAAGCTACCCTTCATACTATAGAGCTGGCAAGTTAGAGATATGGCAAAGATGGAGATATTCTTCTGGCAAAACTGCAGGTGCATGCAATAAAAATGTGAAAACTTTCTATGGAGTTCCAGGGACATGCTACTAAAAGTGTGAAAACTTTCTAGGGAGTTCCAGGGACATACTACTAAAAGTGTGAAGACTTTCTAGGGAATTCCAGGGACATGCTACTAAAAGTGTGAAGACTTTCTAGGGAGTTCTAGGGACATGCTACAAAAAGTGTGAAGACTTTCTAGGGAGTTCCAGGGGCATGCTACTAAAAGTGTGAAGACTTTCTAGGGAGTTCTAGGGACATGCTACAAAAAGTGTGAAGACTTTCTAGGGAGTTCCAGGAACATGCTACTAAAAGTGTGAAGACTTTCTAGGGAGTTCTAGGGACATGCTACTAAAAGTGCTCTGCTAAAATAGTTGGGAAACAATAGAGCACATTAAAAGCCATGTATACAAGCTTAATGGAGTGAATGAACAATTAGGAGCTTATTCTAAGACTGCTATTTTCCAGTGCTTGACACTTAATGATGTAATGCCCAGTAATCTCAATTAATATTTAAAACTGCAAGGATGCATCTCAAAATATATTTCATAATGTCTCAAATGAACAACACTTTGTTGAACCTTACCATCTTCCCTTAAGTCCCAGCAAAAGGTTTGCATTTTCAGTAACATGAATCAGTCAAGATCAATTAGAAAATGCTAATAAAAGCTAAATCACATATATATATATATCCAGCAAAAGCTTTATTATCAAGCATCTGCCAGACCTGGCATTACAAGATAGGATAATAACAACAACAGTTTTAAACAATACAAAATGTTGTAAAAACTTTAAACTGTTTAAAACATTTATAAGTACTGTATTTTAAATGTGAACCACAGTACAGGTGGCTAACAACTGAAGCTTGCCAATGAGAAAGAATGTAAACAAAGCAACAGCAGTGCCACTGATCATTTGTATTTGGAGATACAAGAGCTTTCTGGATACAAAGATGCTGGATAACAAAGCTTTTACTACATATGCTTTCTGTACAAATTATGAAAAATTTGTTTTTTGAAAAGGTTATGAACTTAAAATCATTAAGTAGAAAAGCATCATGTTCTACTTACTTTAATAAGCACAGATTTCTGATTGTTTTCGCTAGCTAACTGTTCATTGGTTTTCTGTTGGATTTGATGTTCTAGATGCATTTTTTCTAATTTTATATTCAAATCCTCCAATTCAGTTTTGGCAGTGTCTTGACTTTGCTACAAGAAAAATCAACCAAAATGTATGTACTACCTAAAATACAAGTTATGCCAAGTAACAAGTGTTCTCTAATAAGTTTCAGAAACTAGTATATTGTGGTATTCAGATACATTGATATCTGTCAGAGAATTACAAGTTCATCCTTGAAATCCCAAAAGTTGTGCAGAATATTAAAATGAAAACAAATAGAAAAGAAACTTCACATGTACTAATTCATAAATAAAGTTAACATTTTCCTAAACTAAAAATGTATTTGTGGTAGATAATTACCTCCTCTCACAAGCTTTTCTTGATTATTACTGCTCTATAGCAGTGCAAATTTTCAATGCTTGCCACAAGCCTTACCTCTCACTTCTGCATATCCACATGTAAATGATTATGCAGCAGCCCTCCACCAATAGCAGCGTGACACAACCCCTATCATAACCAGCTGTCGTTCCACATTTGCATCATTAAGCACTTCGAGACTGGTCATAGGGAGGCTGGGTGGGAAATGTGAGAAGAGGTAAGTATCTATCGGAAATATATTTTCTCTTAAGGAAATGTTAACTTCTGATACGACATCTTACCTGTTCTCACAAAATAGCTAGAATCCCACATTGAACTGGTGGAGGGCCCGTGAAAAAATTATTCTCCTTTAGAAAGTGCCCAAACAGAGACCATGAGGTGCAGAACCAAAAAAGAAAATATCACACCTCAGCAGGAGACCACACCACATCTGATCAAGGTATTCTCTTCATACTTTTATGACTGTGTCACAAACATAAAAGGTGGAAAAACATGAAGGAATCCCATAATACATATTGCCTATTAATGGGACCCCTGAGTGTAAAGTGGCTAGAGCACAACAGACTGTAGTGTTAGTTTGACCTTACCCAACACCTGGCGGTATCTGGAATTGTACATCAGTTCTACGATAGGCTGAAGATCATCTACCTCTTCACCTCGAAATGGGAACTGGTAAGGAAGACGACCTTCTGTACCAAAATCCGTCTCCACTTGTGCACATTTCCAACCCAGCCAACACCTGATCCACTATGAACTGACATCCAGCAGATGGTAGGAAACGGGGCTGCCAACCTAGGGTCCAAACCTATCAGCATTGGGCATTTTTCATCCAGTCTGCGACAGGAGGAGGAAAACTGGCCAAAAAACATGTGAAGAATTACTTAGCTGGATAATCTCCAACCAATACCTGAACCCCCGGAAACTGAATCCGGAGGATGGTAGGAAGGAGGAACACTCAGCCTGAGGGACAAAGTGCAATATATATATATATATATATATATGTATGTGTATATAGTCATGGCATGGCAGAGTGCTCCAACCAAAACCTGGTGGATCTGGAATTGCACATCAGGTTCCCGGCAGGAAGGGCATCACACCTTTGACACATGGTTTTAATCATAACCCAGCCATCTCCAACCAACACCAGATCCACCAGGTGGTAGGATGGAGGAATGCCACTGTGGGGAAAAAGGAAACTGCTAGATATATATGTATATATATATATATATATATTAATATGGCATAGCGCTACAACCAAAACCTGGTGGCATTTGGAATTGTACAACAAGTCTGCGGGAGGAAGTGTTATACACTAACAATACCTACAAAATCCAACTGCCTTACTCTCAACTGAGTGGTATTACGCATCACTCAGGAGGGCAGGCCTCCAGGGTCCAAATCAATGGCTAGGAACTGATAAGTGGCAAGGACTCCCATACTCTGATAGAAGAAAGGAGAGAAAAACACACTGGAGAGAGTACAATGAGTGACCGTGTTATCCTATTTTTTAAAACTGGAGCTACCACATTGAAGGAGTCAATCAACCAACACCCGGTAGCATCTGAAATTGTACATCAGGATCTTGGTAGGAAGAGTCTAAATGCCATAGAGTATCAGAGATTGGTAGCAATTCATGTCTGCTTTACTCATGTGTATCCGTGAATGTATTGTCTGGAACGAACATATTTATAAACCAAAAGACCACTAGGGAGAACTACTATGGAACACCCCATCTCTACGGTGTGCGTAACCTAATCCTACAACATAATTGTTTCGGCATAGATGACAACTGAATGGAAACACACAATCAACACCTGGCAGCATCTGGAATGGTACATCAAGTCCATGATAGGAATAGCTACAATGTAATTGACATCAAGCATGGTCACAGGATGGCCAGTGTGGATTTTCAAAAAGGTATACCTGATCAGGCACCACTTGCCACAGAGTGGGATCCACAATACACTAGCAAAATAGGCCCCTGTAAATGAAGAAATCAAAGCATAGTACTCACCAGTCATAATGACACTGCAGTGTATAAAATAAAAGAAAACCCAATGAGCAAGAAATGGCCATGTAATATAAATAATGTGAAATAAAGGTATGAGATGTAGCCCACACATTGGCCCTAATAATGACCTCCAAAGGAAGACAGAAATGGGCAGCCAGGGACAGTGAGGTGACAAATTTGATGAGAATATACCCTAAAAAGGCAACACTAGTCAGGCAAAAAAGAAGAATACAACTGCCAAAGTAACAGGCAAATCCAACTTCTAAAGGTAATAGGAGAGAGGTCCCAGGACTTGGAAGGATTTCATGGAATAAACAAATGGTTACTCAAACCATGGAAGGGAGCAGTGTAAGTAAGATACCATTGGAGGGCCTGGACTGGACACAGGAGGCAGTCAGGATCAGAACAGTCATAAGTGTGGGAAACAGAGGATAATGAAATGGTAGAAAAATTGGAATTACCCTCACTAGCAGCAGAAGTCATGGGCAAAAATGAATGGTCAGGGAAGAGGAGAACATAGGAACTGTGGAAACAGCATATGATGAGCATCAATCACAAAGATCTCAGCTCGTCGCCAGCTACAACCCAATAATATGAGGAATAGAGATTTTAACGAAAGGTGATACATGAAATACAAAGGTTCAAATGGAGGAAGAGTGAGAGCATGAAGGACAACATTGAGATTCCAATCCAGGAGAGACACAAGGCATGGAGGATGAGAAAGGGAAACAAATGAAATAAAAAAGACAACACAGAAGACTGGAAGATAGAGACAAACTCAGTAAATCTGAGCCTGCAAGGTAACACAGCTCTATAGCTGGTGATTGAGGAAACTTAGTCTTCTATTGATGAGCCAAGTGAAAAGTACAGTCATCTGTGGTGGGGAAGGTTATGAAGAATGATATCCCCAGCTGAGTGACCAGCAGCAGGAAGTATGTCATTTATGCTGATAAACTGCCAAGGAGGAAGAATGTGTGGTATGGGCAATCAATAAGGCAACATGCCTGAAAAATCCAGATTGTCTGGTGATGGACCAGACAAAAGCCATGCTTGAAGCCAGAGGGCAGGAATGGACAGATGACACATGCCTGATTGAGGTTGATAAAGAAGCGTGGGAGACAATGGCAAAGGAAGGATAGGTGACACCAAAAGCCTGCACAGAAGTGGTAACCACATCTGAGCAGGCCAAAATGGAGCCACTAAGAGGACACAACATGGAGTGATATGAATGATATGAATCAATGAAAGGATGCTGGGAAGAAGGGGAATAAGAGAATATGCATACAGGTAATATCATTTCCAGTTTTGACAAAAGGTATCTACAGCTTCTGCAAAAGGATGGAGGAGACCAAAAATAGGGAAGTTGTGCATTGAGATGTGTGGTAAAAGCATCCACATCAAAAATACTCCAATGAGCAAACAACTCCCAAAACACATGCAGATTTAATGGTTACTCTATTAGTAGAATCTAGTCAGGCTGAGATAATAGGTTTGCAACCAGATTTGGGGCACCCAGAATATGACATGGTAACAATCTGATGTGATAATTGTGGGCCCAGTAGAAGAGATTCAATGTTCAGATCTCAGGACCGAATACCCCCTTGCCTGTGGAATTATTGGAGTAGGCCATTACCAAATGCCCCCAAACATCTGACAAAAAGTGAAGCAGAGCACTATGAACCACCAGCAACTTCAAGACGTTGATGTGTAGGGATGATTCGGCCAGTGTCCAATGACCCAAAACCGCTTGAGCATTGAGATATGCACCCCAACCCAAAAGGGAAGCATCTGGAAAAACATGAAAATCTGGTCGAGGAGGTGGAACAGGGATTCTGATGGTAGTTTTAGTCCAATACAGCCACCAAGTGAAGTTGGCCTGTAGGTGAGGAGGCAGGCAAGGTAATAGAAATATCTAAGAGATCCCAAATGAGGCTTGTTCAGTCGAGTAAAACTCACTAAATGTGATGCATGTGGGTACAACCAAGAATAATAAGGGTGAGAAGCTTCCCCAAGTCCTATGGCCTCTTTCTGAAGGAAGTAAGTTCTCAACCGCCTTCTGTAGACAGTGGTGAGAAACAGGATTCCTTGGTGTGGGAAGGCAAGAGGATGAAGAGACAATGGGAGAGGAGAATGGAAGTAAAGGTCCAGAGCCCCTAAAAGAATCTGTAGGAACCATAGATCCATTGTAAACAGTGTCCACATATAGTGATCATAGAAAAGCCTGGCCCCCACTGGCCCTGACAGATGCTGTAATCCTCTGAAGTGCCTTTGAGTAACAACTCGGCTGCAAATGGAGGAAGAACGAGAAGCTGGGACTGACAAAGGGTTGGATGGGGGAGGGCAAGATACAGAGACAGTAGGAGGAGGTTGTGATAAACTGGATAATGAATTAAGCAGATGAGCAGACTCAACTCATGCCTGCAATGATTCGGGAAAAACCCCAAATACCTCTTCATGTAAAAAAGGTGCCATGTACAAGTCATGTAGGGAAGTATCAGGTAAGAATACAAGAGAATGAATGGCAACCCTACCCAGGAGGTCCAATCAGCATATCAGCCACGTCTGAAGAACGTGGACCAAATATGAAAGGCATGCCACTGTAGTAAACAGAAGACCACAAACATCATCTGAAACCCTTCAGGAGACAAATGAATTGCCAGAGCCAGCAAATGCATAGTTGATAATGCATGCAGAATTGTAGACAACAGCAGCCTGAGACAAGAAAACTGAGGTTGCCACAATGTAATGAATGAATTCAAATGTTGGGACTCAAGATAAGGAAAGGAAGATCTATAAAATGTATAAGTATGATCTTCAGATGTACGAGGCAGATGAAACATACCAACCCCGAATGAAGTTGATCCACAAATTGCTGGGCATGAACCCCAACATCAGATATGGGAGGGAACACTAAATATTGGCTAATATAGATACTTCACCAAGGAGGGCAGGTTAAGAATCATAGGAAAGAGGTGATAAGGATAAGATGGCACAAACCTAATTATTTAATTCCACAAAGGGTGAAGGAGGTCTGGGTAAATCCCCCGATATCACTTGTGACTGGGAAGCATATTCAAGGGAACAGGCTGACCCAATTCTTGTCCTCCCTGTTAGACATTCCAGGAGCAGGCATGATAAGATATTCTTTGTGTGGTGGTGAAGATTGCATGAATGTGGAAATTTCTCACCAACTTGGAACACCGCAGCAGCAATAACAGCTGTAGTAGCTGTAATTACCTGAAACTTCAAGTGCATAGTGACATGATAATTCCAAACTTGAAGCAAAAAAAAAAGTTGGAAAAAGTTAGAAACAACTAACATAGGTAGTAGCTGTCTTATGATGGAATGCCTGATCCAGATAAAGGATAATATAAGAGGAATGATAAAGGATATGGGAAACATTAATGGCCTAAACATCGGAATAATGAAGAACACATGCCAGGAGGAGAAGGAAATAGGTCTTAAGGGAAAGATGGTACATGGAACACATAGTAATGGGTTCAAAGGGAGAACCAGACAGGGCATCAAGAACAACATTGAGATCCAAATCTGGAAGAACAAAAGGACGTCGAGAACAAACAAAACAAAAGGGGGAAATAATTGGGGAGGTGAAAGCTTTACAGAATTATGAGAAATGGAATGTGTTTGACAGAGCAGCCCAATAACTAGCAACTGTTAACATGGACAAACCCTGATCAAACAACCAGGTAAAGAACTGGGACACATGAGGAACAGAATGAAGGGAAGGATGGAAGCCACGGCAAAAGGACCACCATCTAAATGTAGACCAACATCTTTGGTGCATGAACAATAAGAAGGCCTGGATTGTACAGGTAAGGAAAGATGCTACACAAAGAGTGAGTCCCTGAGCTGAGGTGAGGGACCAGACAAAAGCTACGTGTAAAGAAGGAGTTTGGTGATGTCTGGATGAAATACATCTAATTGCAGTAATTGGAAGAGCAACCTGGACAGAGTTAAGGGCAGGAGAAACCATGTGTGAGCCATCCAATATGGAGCAACTAGCAAAACACGACAAGGGGTGGTCTGGACGATGGAAATGACACTGAAAATTAGTCTGAGAGGAGGGTAGGCATATAGATGAATGCCCCTCCAATCCTAATTGAAAGCATCCACTTACAGAGCAGACGGATGTGGAACAGGAGACCAAAAGAAAGGTAGTTTGGTATTCCAGTAAATGGCAAATGCATATATATGTGGTTTTCCTAGGTGAGATAACACCGACTGAAATAATTGATGATAGAACTTGGTTTAGATGAGACAAGCAACCAGCCACCAGATTCATAATTCTGGGAACATGACATGCTAAGATGGTTATATTATAATCCTGGGCCCAGTACAGGAGGTCGAGTGTCTGAAACACAGAGACTTGAACTTCGTTCCCCCTTGTTTGGTGATAAGCTGACAACAGTGGAATTATCAGAATCACCAACTACCCCCAGAAGAGTGGGAGGAAATCAGATATAGCCCAAAGAACAGCCAAAATTTAGAGGAGGTTCATATGGAATGTAGTTTCTATGACTGACCACTGCATCCAAATCTCCCTGGATTTGAAATTCCCCAACCTATCAAGGAAGCATCTGTGAACAGGTAAGTGTCAGGATAAGGCAGAGGAATGAGAACCCTTACTGTGGTCATTTCCCTGTCAAGCCACCATGGAAAGTCGGCCCTAATCTCAGGAGAGAGGGAGATAGGATGCAAGCACATGGTGTGAAGTAAATACACACATCTATACAATGTGATGCCAATCGAGAAAGTAAGGATTGTGCTAGAAGAGTAGAGGGAGCTACTTGTACTAGTACAGTTGGTGCAGTATGATTGGTGGAGGGCAGTCACATGATATACACGTTCTGAAATGGTGTTCTATCAGTGAAAATTTTTTTAGCAATGCTTAGAGGGCAAATCAAAGTCGAGATAGCTTTGGGTGAGAGAAGGTAGTACCATTTTGGAAGTAATTCTACACAAAACTCTTATTTGCATTATAAATCACTAACGATATTCAGTAAATTTTAGGAACATATGACTGTAATTAAAGGAAGATGTATAAAAATGTTTCAACCACACTATATCTTCTATATCCAGTGTTGGAAAAGCTTTTCGCCCAATACCAGAGCTCATCAGGCAGGCTAAGATTATGACAGACAAAGGCAGTGGTTTATCATTACATAACTCTTCACAGAACTGATATACCAATCATCTACTACATCAGAGCCTCAGAGATCTGTGCATGCACTGTAAATTACAGGTTTGTTCATGTCTTGTTCACTGACAGTTGCTAAGACAACACCGGCTGACTCACATACATTGCAGGACATACTACAGTTTGATATTCAAAGAAGTGTTGGACACATCCAGACAAAGCTAGGTTGTCCATGAAATTCTTTCATCTCCATAAGAGAACCTTATTGTCAATTGTATACACTAGACAGTACCAACTAAAATACTAGTATTCAGCTAGAATAATTAAATGATCCTCTGCTAAAATATTGTTATTGCATCCTACTGAATCAGTAATTTGTTTAACCCTTTTCTAAAATTTCATATTGAAGCTAATTAACCTTGTCATTTAAATAAATATACAAACTATTTGGCAGCTGAATATTTGGTTAATTGGTTGAGTGACTTTGCTCAATATTCAATAGCTGGCTGAAACACTATCTGTTACATTTCTATTTTAAAATAATCAAAAGTATTTTATACAACAAAATTAATAATGAAATTTCATACTTTTATTTAACCAAAAATATAAGTAAAATGAAGCAGTCTACCTTAAGTTCTTTTACTTGATTTTCTAACTTGGATAAAGCTTCTTTTCCATTTATAACCTGCTGTTCCAGAGACTTTTTTTCTGCTTCTTTAGCTTCAATTTCTTCCTTAGCTTGCCGCAAATCTCGTTCACCTCTTTCTTTCCTACGCTGTTCTTTCTGTATCTCTGTATTCACCAGTTGAAGATTCTGTTGTAGCTATAAGTGAAAAGAAAAACACATACAAAATTAAATCTCAAACTCCAAACAATAGCATAAACTAATTACAATATCTTTTTTGAAAGACTATTTTACTGTTCAAACATTTTGCACACGAATAACAACCGTTTAGGTATGATTTGAAGTAAGTAGGTGAAACTTAATTTTATTTATGTCACTACACACCATAATTGAAGCAAAGAAATTTTTAACACTATGTATATTTATCTATTTTAACACTAAATAGTTTATTATTATTTGTTTATCTTTACTTTAATTCACCTACTCGTCATTCAGCTAGTTAATTTTCTTGAAGTATGGAAAAATGTGGGCCAGCTCATTCAGATCTTAACTCAAGATCTTTTTTAAATACATCAAAATAATTTCATTAGATAAGTTTGAAAGATGGGAATCTAAAATTACTAATTTCTCGTTCAGTGTATCCTTATTTCTGGCTTCTTTTATACATTATTTAATCTATACTTTTAAAAGAAACTCATGCCAAGACAATCTGGTTGTGTGGAAAAATGGTTTAACAGCTGAAACATCTACAAGTTAAAGAGAGGGTTACACTTCCTTATTTTCCTTTGATCTTAATATTAATATTTGGATTCCATCTTAATGTACTGGTTTAATAGAGCTAATAAACAAACAATAATTATCTAAAACTTTAGTCTGCCTTGAATATCAATATCCCTTTAATAAGAATTTGATGACCTTTTATAGGTTGCTAATGTTTGTAGTATTACTAAAGTACCAACATCATCATTATGAAAAAAACAAAAACATATTATTAGAAAATTTTTCAGAGTATTAATAAGAAAAAAATTACTGATTATTATAGCAGAGTAGTTGTTTTTATGGTTGTGGCAAACATTTATTTTACCTCTTGTACTTTTAATTCTTTTTCATTCCGTTCTTTCTCAAGGGTGGAATAATTTTGTGAAAGCTCTGTCGCTTGTTTTCTCAGCTGAACAACCTCGACCAACAACTTATCTTTTTCTTGTACCAATTTTTCTTTCATGTGTAGAAGTTCTGTAACACTACAAGAATGTGATGGTATTTTACTGTACACATCTGTTTATTTATAGATAGATAAGCATGCAATGAATATAAAACACAAAAAAGGATTAAATTAGCACAGGAGTAATGGAAAAAAAAGTAATATAATACTAATGTTATCTCTTTATTTTTTGCTTCCTCCTTCACAGCTTCACATCAAAATTAAAGCTTTTTCAAATGTGAAAATAACTTATTTATATGACCAGCGTAGACCATTAATAACTGGCTGATATACCTGTTCAATGCATGGGGAAGACGTAGAGATGTTAGAACCCATTTACATGTCTTTCAGCATCAATTTTTCTTCGTTGATTTTGTTTTTCATTTGACCGTGTCAATTGTTTTCCCTCTGCTTCAGTTATTCTAACTTTTGCTAAGATTTTTTGATTTTGTTTTGCCATCCATTTACTTTTTCTTTCTCTTGCTAAACAGCATTTACTTTCTTCCATGTTTTTGAACTATTTTTACTTTTATACAGAATTTTAGTTCAGAATCTATTTCACAGATGTTGCTAGAAGTGTTCAATTGAAATGAAAAGCTGAGGTGGCTTGATGCCATAAACATGCCATCTTTTAATTTGAATGTTAAGCAATATCTTAAATCTACGATTTAATATATAATGGTATTGAATGAGCTTACTCTAAAGATGATCATTTATAAAACAACATAAAATCCTGACTTCACTGGAATTCGAACACAATACTTCCACATGTGAGTTGAACACTGTAACCACTGAGCCACTTTGACATCCAGTGTTTTAAAATATCATGATATTCGTGTTTTTCAAAATATTATTGAAAGAGCTTGCTCTAAACATGATTACGTAATTAAAAAAAATGATAAGTCCCAACTGTAGTGGTAGTTGAACGTGAGACTTTTGCTTGAGATTTAAACACCCTAACTACTGAAGCAATTTGAGAATTACCAACAGATAGTGGCTTTATATAAGTAGATATGCACATGTTGAATTTCAATCACAGGTTTTATTCAATCATTCCAAAGATGATGTTGAAAGATTTAATGTCACAGGATCATTCATTGAAAATGATTGGTCATCAGAAAGAATGCAATATTTCCCTGTTAGTAAGAGCATCCACCCACTTGATGTTTTCTTTTTTTATGCTGTTTCACTAAGAATGAATTGAAAAGTACACTTCATTTTTAAGAGAAAAAAACCATAGTTAGCATCATGACATCCTATGTGATAAAAAATAACGGCTGACTTGAAGGTAAATGTCTCTTAACAGCTTTAGCAGTATGAAACTAACCTTAACTGATACTTTCTTACAATGCCTTAAGAAAATGACACGGTTGTATTCCAAATAAACCATTTGTTTTCAGCTGTGCTCCAATGACATCAAACAAGGTATTTATGAATAAACATCTTTGGAACATAAGAACATATTCTCTCAATTATACACTCAATAAAGTCACACACAGTAGTACTTCAATAGGTATAGCTTTCAGTATTAAGTTCAATCATGATTACTAATGTAAAATTGGGATACATCAGCTGGTGAATAGTATTGTGGCAGAAATGATTAGTTGACAATTTAGTCTGAGAAGAATACATACTTTTAAATTAATTAACAAGGCTATTAATCATTACCATCCAATTACACAATAACGATATTATTATCTAATATCTACTAATGTTGAGAAGTGGAAATAACTATTATAGTATAAGCATATTGTATATCATTATTACGTATCATATTCCTTACATATATATTCCAAACATTTTTTTAATGAAAAACGGTGTACATATAAATATCCTACTGATAGCTGTTGTAAGTAGTTCATATACTGAACACTTGCCTAATTATTTTGTGTACCCGAGTTATTATTTGAACTATATGACTGTATATAAAATGACTCAAATGTCATGTACTCCTTATATAAACTGAACTTAGAGTCATGTAAAATTCACAAAGAAGAACAGACTACGTGAACTACTGGAAGATCGCTACACACAAGTGTAACATTTCAAGCTAGATGGCTTGTTGCTGGGGCTGGTGTTACCAACCTGATTAGTGACATTTAAATCTGATGATATAACTTATTGTAAATTGTTTTGTTTTTTTGTGGTCTATTACTTAATGTCAATTCTATAATCAAATATAGCTTTGCCTTGATTTGCATAAAGGGAAATATATTGACTCAACTGTCTCTCTCATTTTGAGTTAGTTTTTTATGTTACTTTTCTGTGTTCTATTCCTGGTTTGTGAAGAAGGCCAATGTTATTTGTTTAGTCCACTATAAGTTTCAGAAATTAATTTTTTGAAAATTAGAATTAACAGGCATATCCTGATAACTTATAAATTTAGGCTTATTCTTAAGCAGAATCACTTTAATTCTATTAATTTCTAAAAAATGGTTTACAAGTAATTTATCTCAATAGGTGAAATCATAAAGCTATTGAAGAAAATATTTTCTTTCATTCTTTCTTTGGGTAAGTGTATTGTGAGAACCGTTATTTATAGTAATAACCACAATGGGATACTTTTACTGAGTTTATTCTTTTCATTTACCTTGATAAATTTCTCTAACAACTTGTTCTACACCTGATCTTTTTTCAAACAGTAAATTATTTGTCCAGAAAATTCCAGACCACAGAAAGCTGAAATAGATCAGCAGCTTATTACTAATTTTCCAAAATAAGTGTTTCCATATAGCTCTTGAAACGATATAATCATGAAAGAGCTCATAAAATTTTTCTTTGTAATAATTATAGTCATGTTTATTTAATTCCCCAGTACTGTTATTTAAATTTAATTGATCTTTAATCACAAAAAAATCAACATTGAATGTATTATAATAATCTTAGATCAGACATCTTATATAATATAATTATTCAAACAATCCTTATGATATTGTAAAATTATTATTGCATGAGTTGATTGAATGACTTCACTACAAAGAAAATAAATGTGATAAGAACATTCGTAAATGTGTAGCTCTTTTGAAGAAAGATTCTTTTGATCAAACATTTATAATAACAACTACACCAAACATTGCAAATAATGTATTAACTTTCTACATTGAAATTATTTGTAAAAAAAGCCAAGATAAATTAATTTCTCACATACAGTTTGTACTGTCAACACCATGCTGAGTATCAAAACAAGAGGTTCTTTATAGCATTCACGAATGAAAGATTTTGTGAAGCAACAACATATGACCTTCCAAGACAGTTGAGCTCAACATATGCACTGAAAAAGTCAACACCCTCCCAAACTTTTAATTATAACAACTAAAACAGAATTATACATGTATATCTACTCAGAAACTTATGTTCATTGATATAAATCATTGTGATTTCTTAGTTATTCTGACATCTTTCATATATTTTATAGTCTATTCATATGCCAATATAATTTTTCCATTTGAAAATATACACACTTTTTGTCAGGTTTCTGAAGAATACTGCCTTTCTCTGCTAATTTGGTCAAATTAGATATTTCAACTTTCAGCATTTGTATAGTTTCTCTTCCACGCTGTTCTTTTTCACGTGCTCCATCAACTAATTTCCAAGCTTTCTCTAATTCCTTTAGTACAAATAAATAAGATAAAATGCAATTAGAAAACATATAAAACTCGAGAAAAGAAAAGAAAATGATTTATAAAAAATGTTTTCATATACAGTACCTTGCAAAAGTATTCACCTCCAATCAATAATGTCACATTTAACAAATAACGTAAACAATTTTTTTAATGAACTTGTTTTTATTCAAAAACTCTAATGATCAAACGTAACACTGTTACGTGTAAAAGAGGTTGAATGTCAGCAATACCTGCAAAGAAAATATATAAATTGAAATTTGATGATTACATAAGTATTCAGCTTTCTAAGTCAGTACTTATTGGAAGTACCTTTGGTAGCAATTACTGCTGTGAGTCTTTTTGAATAGGTCTCTACCAGCTTTGCATAATTGGATGGTGTGATTCTTGCACATTCTTCCTCCAATTTTGACAAGTTCATTGGGGATCATTGATGGAGTGCAATTTTCAAGACTCGCCATAAACTTTTCATTGGATTCAACCAAGGACTTTGAGTTGAATACTCCAGGACATTCACTTTTTTATTTTGAAACCACTCAAGTGTGGCTTTGGCCTGCTGAAATGTGAATTTTCGACCCAGTTTTAGATTCTTGGCAAACTCAAGCATGTTTTTCTCTATGATTCCCCTATTCTTTATACCATCCATCTTCCCCACAATCCTGACAAGCTTCCCTGTCCCTACTGATGGAAGTCATAACATGATGCTGCCACCACCATGCTAGGCAGTTGGGATGGTGTTGACTGGGTAATGTTCTGTGTTGGGCTTGCACCAGACAAAACATATTGAATTTGGACCAGAAAGCTCAATTTTTGTCTCATCTGACCACAAAACCTTCTGCTACATGTCTGCAGTATCATTTACATGCTTTGTTGCAAACTCCATATGGGATTTAAAATGATTCTTTCTCAGTAATGGCTTCTTTCTTGCCACTCGGCCACACAGGCCTGCTTTGTGTAAGGACTGGGATATTGTCGATGTATGGACACTGACTCCAATCTCAGACATGGAACTTTGGAAATTTCTTAAAGTCACTTTTGGCTTCACAGTGGCATCCCTAACCAATTTCCTACTTGCCTGGCTGCTTAGTTTGGAAGGGCAGCTTGATCTGGGTAACTGTAACTGGGTGGTATGAAGCACATTCCACTTCTTAATGATGGACTTACCATACTCAAAGGGATAATCAGCGACTTTGAAATTTTCTTGTAACCTTCTCTTGATCAATGCTTCTCAACCACTTTAACCCTGACTTGTTTGGAAAGCTCCTTGGTCTTCATGGTCGGGTTATTGTATCACTATATGAGTTGTGGCTTCAACAGATGCATTTACTCTGAAGTCAAGTTAATCCACTTTGATTACACACAGACAAGAGACCATTACACTAATTTTGTGACCTTTCAAACTAATCTTTTGCACCTGAACTGATTTAGGGTTGCTGTAGCAAAGGGGTTGAATACATATACAATTGAAAATATCCAAGTTTTCTTATAATATCATTGGTTTTTTTAGCTTTCTCAGTTTGGAGTAGCTTATGTAGACCATAAATATAAAGTCCCGTTTGAAAGTTTCATGACTGCAAGCTCAGTTGGCAACAACATGTTGAACATTGCAGGGGGTGAATACTTTTGCAAGACACTGTATGCTGATTTCACTTTTTCAATGCAAATATATGGGCAATCTGATTTCAAAAGGTCATACGTACAAAAATATAGCTAACTCAAAAGTACTGCAATAGGAAATCCTATAGTTACCTGCTGTGATTATATATTTTTAACATAATTTCTAAGGAAATAAAGCAAAAAAATATAACATTGCTACAAAAACTATTTTATACTACAATATCATCACTCTGACAAAAAAATATAAAAAGATAAAATGATTCACAGGAAAGTTGCCTATAGAAACTTATGTATAAGGAACGTTATAATTTTTCTAAACTGAAAATATATTTCCAACAGGTACTTACATACATAGCTATTCTCATTCAGTGCTGCCCTCTATTTGAAATTTTTTTCACATGCCACATGCCTTTCACTCCCATGTACCCTTCAGTTCACATGGTTTAACTGATTCTTGCATGCAAATTATCATGTGACAAAACCTTCACCAATAGATGTGCCCCACTCACATGTGACTCATGTGAATCCCTCTATGCTATTCTTCCTATTTATCACTTTGAGTTTAGGAAGAAACCTAAGTACTGGTGGACAGTGGGAAGGAAAGGTGAGAAGTGTGAGTAAGAAGTAAGTACCTGTCAGAAATATATTTTTAGGGTAGGAAAATTATAAATTTCGACAAGGTACCTTACTTCTGCTCAAATACATAGCTAGAAACTCACATTGAATAGGTGGTGAAACCAGTGCAAGGGAGAAAGTAGAAGCATCCTTAAAAAGCATCCAAAGGACACCCTCATGAAGGAACCCTCTAATAAGAGGATTCTACGTGAGAGATTTCACCACTTCTGTACTAGGTATAATCTTTGCACAGATGGGGAAAAGGTGAGACAGACCTGAGCAGACAATTATGAGGAGCACATCCCAATGGGAGAGAAAACAGTTGGACGGTGATCCTAACCACAATATATTATAAATTCAATTTCCCTGATGAACAAAATGTGGGTAAAAGAAAGGATGTACCCCAGGGTGTAGAGTGGCTAGGACACGACAGACTGTACGCAGCAAGTCAACTGTGTCCAAAACTCAACTGCTGGAAACAGATATCTATGCAGGGGGGAGTAGGACAAAGATCATACCATCAGTAAGTCAACTGCAATACAAAATTCAACTGCTGGGAAATGACATCCATGTGGGGATAGGAAAGAGGATCATACCATCTTCATCTCAAGTTCAGTCAACCAGAGGGAAAAATTCCCACCACCGATTAGGTAACAGGGCTCATGTGAGCAGGGCAAAATATATACATTCCACTCAAACCAAACAGACCAGACCATCTCAAATGCAGTAACGTCCTAAGCATAAAGACAGAGGAAGAGTGGAGCAACTAACGAGTGCACCCACAGTGATTCACAACACCAGAGCAGTGCAACCGAAGCAAAATGAGTGAGGCACCAGGCACCCCTGAACATATGTGAGGACTTATGGTGATTGGTTCAGCTGTAAATACAAAACTCAACTGCTCAGAACCGACTTCCAGTTGGGGTAGGATGAGGGATCCATGAAAAACAAATGATCAACCAATGATGAAAGAGTTGATTGCTGTCTTACAGATTCCACTCGGGATTCCAAAGTCACTGGCAGATCTCCAAATACTAACCAATGGAAAAACGAAGCCAGACATAAATCCCTAGATAAGGAGAAGGCAAACGAACGTGGGATAAAACCACATCTTTCCCTCAAAGATCCCAACAACAGAGGAATCACATGTATAAAGAAAGAGCTGAAGTCGACAAATGTACCAACAAGGATGTAATTAGGGTAAATGTATCCTCTGAAAAACCCTCAGGATCTTAGGGGATCACCTCAAAGAGGAGGTGTATGGTGTACAAATACTATAAGATAAGATGTGAGGATAAGACGAGGTCAAGAAAATTGGGCTTGGGACAAAATAACTGGACAATCAGGGCTCCTCAATGGGTAAAATGGATTCCAGTTGCTGAGAATCAAAGAATGGAAAATCGGCCTGATGGTAGGCTAAAGCAAACTGATTGAAGCCTGCAGAAGGCAAGGCAAGCAGAAGTAAGGTATCTTGTCAGAATTAACCTTTAAGAAATTCATTCTTGTACATTGTTCACTGACTGGACCTTGTCACATTACTTTCTTCTGAAATAATATTTTCAACTAAAGGTTTACACATGGCAGAAACAAAAATAAATGTATTAATCAATTTAATACTTCCTTGGTGAATACAAAAAAATACATAGATGTATATACTATTAGGCTTCTTAAAAAATTAAACAATCAAACAATATATTGACCCCCAGCTAACCTACTTTCCTTCATTCTAGAAAGCAATTTAATCAATTATCAAAAATGTTGTACAAATTTATATTCTAAGTGTAATGAAATTTATTAAAGAAACACTTAAATGTGTAACAAAGTATGTATTTGTTAGCTGATTATTTCTAATTCATCCAATACTTTTTCAAAATTAAACTATGAAAAATTAAGCATAATTTATACTAAAAACATGTAAAAATTACCCTTTTCAATGATTCTATAGTTATTTTATCCTCTTCTGATAGTTTTAAAGCTGCAGCAACTTTAGAACCATTGGCAGCAATTTCTGCATTCAACTCACGACATTTCTGCATCAAACGTTTCTCATTTTCATGAGATTTATATAATACTTCATGAAGTTTTTCATATTCACCTCGAAACTTATCAAATTTTTTATCTCCTGCTATGTTTTTGAGAACCTGTAAATTCAAACTCTCATTATAAAATTTTACAAGAAAATGTTTATATCTGTCTATCATAGCACATGATAGATATATCAGTTTAACATAAAATACAAGAATTTCATTATCTTGTAGTATCTGTATGGCAATATGCATTTTCTTGGCTATTATATATGACGCAGTCATGGACTACTAATGTTTCTAAATATTTTTATACCATACAATATCAAAATACAGTACCCTTTCTTGCTTATATAAAAGCCAAAAAATAATGAAATGAGTTAATATATGCCATGATTTTATGGAAACTTTCTTCAGGAATAACAAAATACACACCAAAAATAAAATATTATCCAAATGATGAATGTGAATACTTTCATTTTGATATAAGAACTTATTATCTGAATATGAAACATATTGCTAGATGAATTATGAAAATAAGTCTATTCTAAGCATTAAACAGACTGTTATAATTTTTGAATCATATTTTTGTAATCATGTTACACCTGACATTTACTTGAAATCTATGGAATTTTCATGATGAAGGAAGTTTCATATATATATATGTATATATAATTATTTTTTTGTTTGTAAGTTGAATTTCGTTAAATAATTATCTATGAATAACTTTTTTATGATAAGATGTTAATAGTTTTGGCAATAAAAATAGCAAATATACAAGTAACATACAGAAACAGTTTTTGTAGGACTGTTTTTGGATCATAAATTAATAGTATTGGGTGAGTTATACAGATAAGATTGTAATAAGATGGTTAGAATTGTTACAAAATTAGTTTAGAAAACTTAAAAGTTCATAGTTTAGCATTTCATAAAATATCAAAGAGTTAAGTGAGTTATCCTTAGCTAAAATATATTAATTAGGTTTGGTAATAGGGTACAACTAACCCTAGAATTCAAGCACATTTTGGGCCTGTTATGGTCTGGTTAACTTTTTGATATTTCATGTTATACTCCGAGAAAATTTTATTGAAGTCAATATGAAATTTTTAATTATTGGTACTCCTTTGACGAGGAATGCTTTTTTTTAAATAATTCCGTGAGTCCTTTAATTCTTCATCCAACATTATTTTGTGGAAAGTTGAACTGTCTTACATTATTATTTAGTGAATTAGAATCAAACAAAAGCAAACACTTTTTTAAAAACCTTTTGGAATTCCTGTTCCATAGCCTGGAATGCATCATCATCTACAGGTTCACCAACTTTGTCAGCAGTTGGAATCATTTCACTTCCCTGAAGGATAGAATTATTATATTTTATTATCTTAAACTCAAAATTACAACTATATAAATAAATAATATTCACGAGCCTAATATAATTAACATATAACTCAGGCTTATAAAAGAACTTTTTAAATTTTAAGAAGTTGTTTTATTAATGGTGAAACACAATAATATTCTTATTTTAGAAAATGTTATTGGATGTTGATAAAATTTCTTGTTAAAATGAATTACATTATATTATTATGACAGCAGAAGTCACGTGACGCTGGTAACATGTGATGAGTTTCTAGAAGGATCGGGGAACATCACAAATAATCCAGTATTTGCTAGACGCCCTCAATTCCTGTATATAAGCATGCCAGATAAAGCGAGACAATTAATCGGAACTGAAATAGCAGACAGAGAGATTGAAGATATAGACAGATAAGCGAGTCAAGCTGTAAGTAAAGTGTGTAAATCATTCTGAATTATAGCATGTGTTTAAGTTAAAGTGACTGTGGAAATTATGTGTATTGCAAAGTTGAAATGAAAAATAATAAACTAGTTTTATTTAAGAAAGGACTTGTATCGGCTGAAGTTTCTCGGAAAGAATTTCTGCGGAAAATGAACAAACAAGAACAGAGACATAACAAACTGGTGTCAGAAGTGTGATGGATAATATAAAAAAAAGCAAATGAGAAGTGGCAAATCAAACTACGACTTAGCAGATTTGATGGCAGCAATAAAAGAACAGCAAAATAAACAAGAAGAACGAGAAAATAAACAAGAAGAGAGACTACAGCAGTGGTTGGAGGAGAAAGAAAATGAACATGAAGAGAGACTACAGCAGTGGATGGAGGAAAAAGAAAATAAACAAGAAGAAAGTCTCCAACAGTTGAGAGAAAGCCAGCATACACAAAAGGAAAAGATTAGTAAATTTCAAAGCAAACTAGATACATTAAAGGATGATTTATTGTCTTTTACACAAGGAGGATACATTAACCATCAACTTAATCAGCCCCAGACAACAACAAGCCCCTTCCAGTCCCTGCAGCTACACCCTAATGTAGACATTTTTAGTCATGTTAGAAGTCACAACTCAGATATGAATGCCAGCAACAGGGGTGATCTAGTACAAAGGAAGCCACAGGAATTCGATGGGAAGGCACAATTTGAGCTCCTGGTAGAGATGAATGGATGGACAGAGGAGCAGAAAGCAGTGTATCTGGCAATGAGCCTGAACTTCAGTGATACAAGTCCTTTCTTGATTAAAACTAGTTTATTCTTTCTCAGTACAACTTTTTGTAATACACAGAATTTCCACAGTCAGTATGTTTCTCATCATTTTAAACTTAACAACTTTCACAGTGATTCACACACACTTTACTTATGGTGCCTACTGTTTGCTTGACTCAATTATTTATCTCTTCAATCCCACTGGTTTTTCTTGCCTGGCTTATATATCAAAAAAGAGGGCATCTAGCAAACACTCGGACATTTGCGGGGTTCCTCAATAATTCGAGAAACTCCAGTGCACATGCTCCTAGCATCACGCGACTTCCGCTGTCATAACATATTGTTATTGTGTTTGTTTGTTGTTACGCACAAAGTTATGTAGTGAGCTGTTTGTACTCTGTCAAATTTTAGCCTTAGAAGTTGTTGTTGTTTTTACTTCAAGTTTGTTCAGCTTTGGTGATTCAGATGGAGGATTATGATTGGAGATTCTTGGGTTCAATTCCCATTTCCACCAAACTTGCTTACCCTGTATTTGTTATAGCAAAACTATTAAGGCTATTTATTTGCCACCTGTTGCCAACATTCATTTTTTCTTTTGCTTTTATGTACTATGATATGAGGAACACTGTATTAATTGATTAATATAATGAGGCTACTGATTAACTGATTAGCAAATACCACTAACTGCCCAGCTCTATTGCTGTAGCATATAAAAAAGATGTTACTCAGTTCCATATTACAAATATTCACATGTTATAAGTTTCACTAATTGGTATTACTGTTACAATTATTCTTTATAATTACATGTTATAAGTTTTAATAATTAGTATTACTGTTACAATTATTCTTTATAATTACATGTTATTAGTTTCACTAATTGGTCTTACTGTTACAATTATTCTTTATAATTACATGTTATAAATTTCACTAATTGGTATTACTGTTACAATTATTTTTTTAATTACATGTTATAAGTTTCACTAATTGGTATTACTGTTACAATTATTTTTTATAATTACATGTTATAAGTTTCACTAATTGGTATTACCATTACAATTATTCTTTATAATTACATGATATAAGTTTCACTAATAGGTATTACTGTTACAATTATTCTTTATAATTACATGTTATAAATTTTAATAATTAGTATTACTGTTACAATTATTCTTTATAATTACATGTTATAAGTTTCACTAATTGGTATTACTGTTACAATTATTTTTTTAATTACATGTTATAAATTTTAATAATTAGTATTACTGTTACAATTATTCTTTATAATTACATGTTATAAGTTTCACTAATTGGTATTACTGTTACAATTATTCTTTATAATTACATGTTATAAGTTTCACTAATTGGTATTACTGTTACAATTATTCTTTATAATTACATATTATAAGTTTCACTAGTTGGTATTACTGTTACAATGTTTTCAGAAGTTACGGAACTAACTTTTAATGATTTGCAGTGAAAATAATAAAACCAATAGCTACAAGTGTAAACATAAATGTAAAATGATAATAATCTGGGTAAAAAGTGTGATGGTGGTGACCCTAACCTGTTCGTACAGGCCTGTGACAGAGTGTTGACAAAAACAATAGGCTTATACTGTGACACAAATTCAAGAAATAAGAAGTTACACTATACGTATATAAATGAGTGAAAAATAAGAATATTCAATGTAGTTACTGTTGTAACTTATAATACTTTCATACTGTAAACATGAAAAGGTGTGCATGATAATTTTATTTCTACATAGTCTTGTTGTTTCCAGAGCTGAGAGATAGACAGATAAAAAATAAGGATATTTGCTATTAAAAATATTTTAAGATAGATTTTTCTATTTTAATTTATGGAGGCTAGATTTATTGCAAGTGTTTTCATTGCTTGTGAAACTTTCAACTGAGATCTTATAGTTTAATTATTTGTGGTAATTTATGCATTTTTAATAAAGTATCTATTTCTTCTTCCTCAACAAGTCTGTAAGTCACTAACTTCAGTAAAACATCTAATTCATAACAATATGAAGGCTTCTCCATTTAAAAAACCTTTCAAATTCACAAATTAAAAAAAGCTGCATACAAACCTTAAAAATGTAAAACAGGCTAAACCTACAGCACATGGAAATGTACGGGATACAGAAAGTATAATGAGAAGAGGAGAACCATCTATTATACATTTTTTGCATTAAAATGAAAGATTCTTAAAATGTTAAATTAAATTAATGGAATATTTATAAAAAAACATATTAGGAATAACTAAAGTGTATTTACACCTTCATCATAATGATGAAAATCTGACCAATACTAACACAAGAATCACAAAACTGCAAATTCATATATTTAACAGATGTATAATTAACTGTTTCTTTTAGAATTTTTTGTAACTTGATAAATATTCAAACATTCACTAGTATACTTTATCCATTTGGAAATTTGTTTAAAAAAATTATTGTGTTACTTGAACTAAACTCTATCAGTGTAACAAAAAGAGTATTGTTACATGAAATTCAATTATTATATCAAAAATCAAAGGAGAACAAGTTACATTTAAACAATTTAAGAGAGTACATTCAATAGATGGAGGTCACTTCTTACTTACAAAAAAAACAACCCATGCAAAAAAGTTGCTTTTAACATTCATAAACTTATTCAATAAACAATACTTTAAAGTAACAACAAATCTTTAGGTAAGACATTTCATAAGCTTATAACTGTAACAAAAAAGTGGTTTTGTCTATGAAAAAGTTTGATGTAGACTTTAAATGATTATGTTAATTATCCTATTATATTATTTAATGTTTAGATCCTCACTTTCAATATTACCAGTCTCATTTCATAGAATAAAGACCTGAATTACAACACCTTTAACAGTTAACATCAGCATAGGCATGAAAAACAAATATATATATATATATATACACAAAAGGAGATAGGGGGGAGGTAAGTCTAATATATATTCAAAATGATAAAAAACCTAACTAGTGACATAAGCAACAAGGGCTACCCTAACTTCAAGTTCATCTTTGTGATTATTTACACTTTTATTAATTTTAGTTACTTTTAGTTTTACAAAACTTCTTATAATTTTTTAAAATGGATTATGATAACTTGATACTGATAGTGTTACTTGGTTCTATTCATAATTAATATTTTCCCTGTCGAGTTAAACAGAAAATACGAAAATCAATTATCCTCACCCCTCCCATGGTTATTTGTTTATTTAATACTGAAACATCATCGTGAATAGTAAAAGAACAGAAAACTAATTGTTCGGTTATCCACAATAGAGAAAAGGATTTGTGACATAGCAACACAATCAGTTACTAAGGGCGACGGACGATTCAAAATGAAATACAAAACGTTTTACGAAACATATGTCAAATATGTTATGCAAATAATCAAAAAGTATCGTTGTAGAATATAACAGTATTGGCTATACTAAGAAATATTAAAAAATACAGTTCAACTTTTTATTTCATTGGCTTGGAAATTGCTGTTGTTTAAGGCACCTTTTGCACTAAGTTGTCCTGCGGACCTTTTTCACATTTTACTTTTTTTGCTTACCCTATAATTGACGGTATATTTCTTAATCGAAAACATATTTCATAATTTTCGGAAATTTAATAAATCGGTAGTGGGTGAAAGCTGCATCATCATTGTCCTTAAAGAATCATGTATACCACTATAATTTACCTGCAATATAAGAATTGCGTTAGAACTACTAATCGGCATACAGACAAGAAATGAAGAATAAACAGTTAGAATTTGTGGTATGAGACCATAGTGCAACTTTTTAAATATTTTTTAAGAAGTTATGGTATGATGATCAATACTACCAATATTTTAAAGAAATTATGGTATGATGATCAATACTACCAGTATAGGTTTTTAATTCAAAATCGGGAGTGTCTTAGGTGTCATGAACATGGAAATTAAGGTCAAAATTGAAACGTTATGAGCAAAAGTAGCCTTGCCTTGGGAAGACTTTTCATCCAAACTATTGGGTAAATTTTTTTTTTTTTTTTTTTTTTGTAGCAAGAGATTGAACCCCAAACTTATGTGTAGTCCAATAAGCGAAACTGGTCTAGCAGACTTTCTCATGTTCAAAGTTGACATCAAAACATTGCTTGAATGAATGTTGTTCCGCAAGGCGTAAGAAAAAAAAAAACTTGAATAAATTATGATAAATTAAGCTAGTTCCATTGTAACACAGTCTTTACTGCTTGACGAAGGGCGTCTGCTTGAAACATTGCACAAAATAAAACTATAAATAGTTTTCATTTAGAAGTGTCAATTTATTTGTTATTATATTTTATTCAACCAAAACATTATAGTGTCTCTATGACTGACTTGCTATTTTAGAGTTGTTACGACAGCGGTAGTCACGTGACTCTGGTAACACGTCATGGGTTTCTAGAAGGATCGGGGAACATCACGAATAATCCAGTATTTGATAGACGCCCTCTGTTCCTGTATATAAGCGCGCCAGATAAAGCAAGACAATACTTTTACTTATCAGAAGCTCCTAGTGGCTCAGTAATAAGTCTGAGGACTTATAACACTAAAATCGAATTTGATAACCACATTGGGTAGAGCACATGTAGCCTATTGTGTAGCTATGCGCATAACAACAAACAAACCAGCGAAAACTTATGAGAAATATTAAGTCTACTGTAAATATTTATGTATTTTAAAGTTTATATTAAAGAAGTAAGTGTAATCTTGCGCTATACAAAAGTTTGACTAATGGAAATAAAACAGTGGTGATTACATGAACGATGTAGGAATAAAGAGCATTGAAAAAACACAGACAAATAAGTTACTGGCAAAGTGAATAAACATTAAAGTTTTTGGAAACAAAATCTTATAACTGAAACTGACATATCCAGCAGATAAAAGACTAAGAACGAAACTGGAATGCAAACTTTGCAATTCAACCTCACATGGTGCTTTATGTTGAGTTTCACTGACAAAGATTAGAGTAAAAGCGATTGGAAGTATGCTATTTTCACGACAGCGGAAGTCACGTGACGCTGGGAACATGCTTGTTGAATTTTTCGAATAGTCGGGGAACTCCGCGAATGTTCGAGACGCCACTTTGTTAGTAAATAAGCCTGGGAGAAAAAAGACAGCAGGTGAAGCAAACAGTAGTCAAGGTGAATTCTGCGTAATTTATAATTTTGTTAGTTTCGAGCTAGTGAGCCGTAAACTGTGATTTACACTCGTAGAGAGCGAAGTTATCGAGGTTGTAAATCGCTGTGATTTATAGCATGTATTATAAAAGTTGTTAAGTTTAAAATAACAAGAAACATACTGACTGTGGAATTCTGTATACTAAAAGTGTGTAGCGAGAAAGAATAAACTGATTTAATCAAGAAAGGACATGTATCACTGAAGTTTCTCGGAAAGAATTTCTACCAGAAATTAACAAACAAGCAGATATGCAACAAATTGGTGTCACAAGTGGCATGGAAAAGAGAAAAAAGAAGAAGATGGAAACGAGAAGTGGCACATCAAACTACAGCTTAGCAGAGTTGATAGCAGCAATACAAGGACAGCAAAAGAAACAAGAAGAACGAGAAAAGAAAAAAAAGAAAAAACAAGAAGAGAGATTAAAGCAGTTGTTGGGTGAAAAAGAAAAGAAACAAGAAGAGAGATTACAACAGTTGTTGGAGGAAAAAGAAGAGAAACAACAAGCGAGGCTATAGAAGTGGTTGGAGGAGAAAGAAAAAACAAGAAGAGGGACTACAGTAGTGGTTGGAGGAGAAGGAAAATAAACAAGAAGAGAGACTACAGCAATGGCAACAAAACCAGCACCAGTGGTAACTGTAGCAAGAAAGGAAACAAGAAGAACGAGAAAAGAAACAGGAAGAACGTTTCCAACAGTTGAGAGAAAGCCAGCATACACAAATGGAAAAGATTAGCAAATTTCCAAAACAATTAGATACATTAAAGGACTATATACTGTCTTTTACACAGGGATGATATATTAGCCATGGACCTAATCAGCCACAGACAAAAGGAAGCCTCTTCCAGACCCTGCAGCTAAACCCTAATGCAGATATCATCAGTCCTGCTAAAAGTCACATTCCAGACATGAGTGTCAGCAATAGGGTGATCTAGTACGAAGGAAGCCACAGGAATTTGATAGGAAGGCACTATGGGAAGCTTATAGAGCACAATTTGAGCCCCTGGCAGAAATGAATGGATGGACAGAGGAGCAGAAAGCATTGTACCTGGCAACGAGCCTGAAGGGACAACCACTGGAAATACTTGGACAGTTGTTAGCAAATGGCAGCTCTAGAGCTCAGGTATGGAACTGGTTTATTACAGTGCCAGCAAAGTCCCTCAAACCTCTCTGAAAGCTACCCTTGATTCCTGACGACTGTACCAACCTTGGTACCTCTGTGCTGGACTTAACATAGGATTCAAATTCAAGAGCTCTGGCCATTGCATCCTGCAGAGTAGAGGGGTGTGCTCGCTTCACTTGTATCTGTTACGTCTCCGTTTGTTAATTAACTTTCCGTAACTTCGTTCCGACGAACCTTTAGCGACACAAGTCCTTACTTAATAAAACTGGTTTATTCTTTCCGAATACAGCTTTACGATACACTTATTTTCAACAATCGCTCTGTAACAAACGCTATGTCAACGAACGTCAACAATACTTCTGACTGCAGTTCAATTACTCACAATCTACACACACATTAATTCGTCACGTTGTCACCCTCTTATATATACCAGACTAC